GCGCTGAGAGCGTGTGCGAGCGCGCGAGGCTGAGGCAGAGAGAAGTGAGAGAGAGATAAATTGAAAAGACGGCCGGGCGGATGTTGCAGCAGTGCTGGGGACAGAGCAAGATCTGTCTCAAAATAAATAAAATTAAATTATATTTTTAATGTATAAAAATTTATATTTACTATAAGTCAGGATGATAAGAATTTTTAAACTCTGTACTTAAAAGTAAATTGTTTAAAATCAAGAAGTGGTGTATCTACAAATTAGTATAAAATAATTATATGAATAGTGAAGTTATTATCCATAATCTATAATGTTGCCATATAAGGTTGATATAGTAATGCATTATTCATACATTAGTTGTATAAATGCGTTACATCCTATCATTAAGGATAATTGTGTTTTGAAACCAGCGTTGAACCAACAATGGTCAAGAACCCATCGTGTATTGAAAACATACAAAATTACTTTTGGCCCGGGTGCCCGGGTGCAAGCACCTGTAGTCACCAGCATGACTTGGGAGCCTGAGGATGGAGGAGCCTTCGCTACCCAGAGGAGCCAGCAGTTGCAGCTGAGCTAAGAGGCACCACTGCACTCCAGGCCTTGTGCGCCAAACACAGCGGAAACTTCCATCTTAAAAGATAAAATAAAATGAAAATAATTGTTGGCTGGGTGCATTGGTACATCTTATGGAAGTCCCGCACTGTTGACGCTGAGCAGGCGGGGCGCATCACAAGGGTCAGGAGATTGACGACCATCCTGGCTAACGACGGTGAAACCCTGTCTCTACTAAAACTACAGAAAAAAATTATCTGGCGGGGCAGGCACCCTGTAGGTCCCAGCTACTTGAAGCTGGAGGCAGGAGAATGCGGAACCTGGGAGGTGGAGCGTTGCAGTGAGCCGGAGATCGAGCCATTGCACGCCAGCTGGGGCACAGAGAGACTCTGTCTATATAAATAGCACTAATAATAGCAACACATTATATATATTGTGATATATAGTTGTTTGTTGTGTTTGTTGTTTTGAGAGTGCTAGCCTTGCTCTGTATGCCCGAGGCTGGAGTGCAGTGGCGTGGATCTC